GCTACTACAAGAGAAATACTTTAGACAGAGTTCACATTTGTATTTCTTGTTTCTGTCAATATTGAAGTATACTTTGGCCTGTTTGCTAGACATATGGGGTTGGTTGTCCTTTTTGCCTGGACCCTGTGGCCTGGTGAATTGGGTCCCACTCATCGAGAATGTCCCAGGAATGTAAGCCCCTGTGAAACTTGTTCCAGTAGTATTGGAGGCTTGATACTTGGAATAGGTCAAATCCACAAATTCCTCTGGAATTAGAAATTTCAGAGTAAACATTTTTCTAAAAGCAACTGCATCAGATAGTAACAATACCACCACTTTATTCATAAAGAAACGAAACATTTGGACTAGTCTTTATCTAATGGATTGGGCGTATGAAGGATGAGAGTGTAAGGTTAAGAATGTATGGTGTGAAAGGTGGGAAAGGTTGCTGAATCATATACTGTAATTCTATCTAATTTGCGCTATTATTTTGGCGGATTTTCTGTTTCAAACATTTGGTGGCTCCTTAATTTTGCTAGCAATATTACAATGTACTAATGGTACCAATTTACATGGTACTAAAATTACTGGGGAATTTGGCAGCAACTTAATGTGGCCAAATTAAAATGGCCACCAAATTAAGTAGAAGTACAGTACAATGTTAAACTGAAATTAAATAAATATCATAGTAATGAAATATATAGAAATAAAATGTTGATAATATATGCATACCATTTTTGTGGATAGATAAAAAAAATACAGTCCAATACCTCCCCTAATATTCTAATAATAATGAAAATTGATTTTGTACAGGATAAAACAACAAACAAAAACATTTATTTTGATAACCAACTTTACACAGACTTTATTATTTCAAAGAATTTTTTCTTCACCTTATATTAAAAAATAGAAATGTGAACACTTGCTAATCTTTTGCCTTTTGGCCGCAGTCCTAATGGCATTTAAAACAAGGTTTTACTGTATATGTATAAGAGATCATAATTTATGGACAAGTTTGCAGTGTCTTTGCATGTGGTATTTTCTCCTGAATATCATCTCACATATCAGACATTTAAATGGTTTTACACCAGTATGGATTGCATAATGCATTTTCAAGTTGTGTTTGTATGAACAAGAGAGGTTTTACTGTATATGTATAAGAGATCATAATTTATGGACAAATCTGCAGTGTCTTTGCATGTGGTCCTTTCTCCTGAATGTCATCTCACATATCAGACATTTGAATGGTTTTTCACCAGTGTGGGTCAATTTACAGAGTATTGTATTGTATTGTTTTGTATTGTATATCTTTATTGCCCATAATAAAATGGAGATACAATTTGTATGTACAGTAATGTAAAATAAAAGTACAAAATTATATACATGTTAGACGTATAAAAAACTATTCAATGAGAAATTGAAATGTTCAACCGTCTCTAACTGGAATGAGTTACACAGTTTACATCGTTTACACTGATCTTCACCTCCTCTATACTTATAGTTCAAGTTGTGCTCACCTATCAATAGTCTGAACATTGATTAGTTTACAAGAGTCTGTTGCACGCTGAAAATGTTAAGCAATGGACTGGATCCTTCGCCCAATTTTACATTGTGTTTTATTAATAGTTTCAATGTCCTTCTGCTTGATAATTCACAACTGGGGCAGCATAGGTCATACATGGAATTGAATAAGTATTGTACAGTTTAGATGCAGAAATTGGAGTTAAACCTCCACATTCATTTCCAATACCAAGTAATAATGAGTAAAATTGCTTTCTTCCCTTTAGAACAGTGGTTTCTGATTATGGACTTTACTATAGTGTCTTTGCATGTGGTCCTTTCTCCTGAATGTCATCTCACATATCAGACATTTAAATGGTTTTACACCAGTATGGATTGCATAATGCATTTTCAAGTTATGTTTATACGTGAAATATTTCAAACAGATTTCACACTTCCAATTTCCTTTATTGTCAGGAAACACCGTAACACATGTTCCTGTATTGCCTTGATTTTGTGGCCCAGTATTTTGTGTTCCAGTATTTTGTGGCCCAGTATTTTGTGTTCCAGTATTTTGTGTTGCAGTATTTTGTATTCCAGTATTTTGTGTTCCAGAGTAGACTGTCCCAGTGGGTAGACTCCCAGTATAATACGTTCCAAAGTTAGTGCTGATGATGTTACAACTGTTGTAGGCTGTATTTATAACTTCAACTGGAAATATAGTCAAACTAAAGTTATAGGTGACGATTGTGATATTTGGCACAGACACTAATGGTTAAAATTGCAATATGCAAATAAATCAGCTTTACTTATAGCCTAATCAATACATATCAAAACCAATCAAATCAATTTCTCACAGACCAAGAATTGAATTTCTTTACATCAATGGTTAGCAAGTCTGGTATTTGGACCTAAATCTAAGTTTATAAGTTTGTCGGAGGGGGGGGGATTAAACAAAAACTGTGTGGAATAAGGAATTAATGAAGTCATTTTTTCTCTAACTGTGACATCATAAGCTATCTAAGATTATCTTTCTATCTAATTGATTAACATACATAACTTCAAAAAGTTCTCTTAATGACACTGAGGAGGTGCATAATTATCACCATAAAATAAAACTTAAGTTAATTTTCAATTTGTAAGAGATATTTTATCATTATAAGAAGCTGGACTTTCTTTAAAGAAAATGTCACAAGAATTATTCACACCTGAATGCTATTAAAATTGAGACAAAACAAGGTTAAAATTTAATTTATTTTAATCTTAATTAAAATCTAACTAAACCTTAAGTTATGTACAAATTACTTAACAGTTATTGCTTTTTCTAATATCAATTTTTTCTATACATGTACATTCAATAGTTTTGCAATGTATCAATACAATATACATTGAATTTGATTTTCTAAAGATCAATCCTGGAACATACAATTAAATGGTATTTTCGATGTAATGAAACAATGTACGAAGTAACATCTGCTGGAAGTTAAAGAGTCTGCAATGGTCGACAAAAATTCTGAGAAAAAATTCTATAATGTCTAGTGTCTGAATCAAGTAAAAGTACACAGCCAATATATTTCGACGCCGTTTCGGCATCGAACAAATTCGGCACTGTTCCGGCACCGTTTCGACACCGAAACCTTTCAACACCAAAATTTGCTACTAGACTAGTCAGTCCATTTGGTGCCGAAACGGCACCGAAATTTGGCACCGAAAATCAGATTGCATTTTAGGGGTGTAGAGGACTCCAATATCAAAACTATAGTATATTTCAAACTAGTCTACAACCAAGTCATCTGATTCATGGGAGAAAAACATACTTAAAAAAGACAACTTTAATATCAAAACAACAGTTCTCATTTTAATGGCATTTCAAAGTATTCTACAATGGTCAGCAAGTCATTTGATTCATGGAGTTTGAACCCTATTCATAGTCAGTTTTATGCATTTGTTTACAATGTCTCTTCACACAGTCTTTTCTGTTGAACATCTTCTTACATACGGGGCATGAAAATGCTCTCTCGCCAGTGTGGGTCAAATAATGCCTCCTCAAGTTAGGTTTAGTCGAGGAATACTTAAAGCAAATTTCACATTTATATTTTGTCTTTCCTTCATTATTCGAAGATGTTGAGGCCTGTTTTATATGGGATGGTTTGTACTTTTTGCCTTTATAGTTTATTCCAGTGTTTTGCGTCCTAGTATTATCATCTCCCACAGATTGAGTCCTAGGAACATCTGCCCCATAGCTGTAGTTCAAGGTGTTACTAAAGTTGTAGTTGCTTTTAACATCTTCAACTGAAAAGATAATAAAACTCAGGTTAACTGCTTGAACATGTTTTTCATCAGCCTTAAAGTTTCAACAATCTTATGAACATATACAAGTTATTAACGTGCAAAATGTCACCACCTGTTATTTGTTACATATTTTATACAAACACTGACAGCCAAACATTAACCATCTAACAATGTTCACTAAAATGTCACCACTTCATGTGGGGACATAAAAAGACTGTAAATCTGAATCAACTGTTTATTGAGACTGAAGACAGTCAACAGTATATTAATAGAGGTCCACAGTGCATCAGTCAAGGTCAACAGTTACCAGTTTTAATGAACCAATCAAAATCAAGTATTAAGACTGGGGCGGTATCCCATTTTTATGGGTATAAACTCTCATCATTTGAATTGCAGTATGAATGTAATGAAACTAAATGAGTTCACCCTAACAAATATTTTTATATCTCAAAACAATAACTACTCTTACCTAGTTTGTGAATGATAATTTTCATGATAATTTACCAGTGTTCTAAAATGTCCCACTGACAAACAGTTTAATAATTAACATTCTAATATGATACATGGCGTTAAAAAAGCAAGAACAATTGATTTACTGGTCTATATTGGACTATGTATGACCGCTAAAATTCATAATGCAAATAGTTGTTTTCTTGTCTGTTTATCATATTAGAATCGTAACAAAGACCTCGATTTTATGATTTATGTCAAATATATGACCTCAATTTTTACTTGGGCCATTGCCAAAGACCTCAATTGCTACGCGATTTCAGTCTTTTAACAATGAAAATAATAAAATTTTCGGTCATATATTATGCCATAAATCATAACACCTCAGTCTTTATTCCTTAAATAAAGCTATTTTTCTATCTTTTATTATTTCAAAAAAGTTTTTAACTAAAGTTAAATGTTCAAAAATGTCAAATTCGTTTCATATTTGAGTAACTAAAACAAAGCAGAAGTTATGTTTAAATCGGTTAATAAAAAGTGACAGTTATATCTGGATTCTTTCTATATGCATGATATACTACAACTTTATAAACACTATTGGGCAGGCAATCTCATTACTAAAATCTTTTTCAACAGGGACTCTGAAGTTGAATCTGAATGGTAATATTTATTTCTCACATAGCTTGAATTTATTTACAACAGTGTCTTTGCCCACTGCTCTTTCTTAAGAATGTCATCTCACAAATTGGACATTTGTATGGCTTTTCCCCAATGTGGGTCAATTTATGCATAATCAAGTTGCCTTTAAGGCAAACATTTACAGTGGTTTCTTATTATGGACTTTACTACAGTGTCTGCATACTGCTCTTTCTTAAGAATGTCCTCTCACATATTGGACATTTGTATGACTTTTCCCCAGTGTGGGTCAATTTAGGCATGATCAAGATGCCTTTAAGGTAAACACTTATAGTGGTTTCTTATTATGGACTTTACTACAGTGTCTTTGCATACTGCTCTTTCTTAAGAATGTCCTCTCACATATTGGACATTTGTATGACTTTTCCCCAGTGTGGGTCAATTTATGCATGATCAAGTTGCCTTTCGATGAGAACCTTTTCAAACAAAGTTCACATCTTTCTTCATTATAAGAGGAAATTGCAGCTTGATTTCTTGGTATATGCGTCACTTTGTCCTTGTCGCTTTGATTGTGTGCCCAAGAGCTTTGCGTCCCAGGGTAGAGTGTCCCAGTGGGAAGAGTCTCAGTGAAATCTTTGCCAGAGCTTGTGCTGAAGGATTTACTTATATAGTAGACAGTCGAATTAACCTCCTCATCTGGAAATAAAATCAAACATGAATTACACCTGATTTTTTCATTCCTATTTCAGCAATTAAACTGAATCTCTCAAACCATTTTTCTGTTATTAAACCCCAGTAAAATGAATCATATGCATAAAATAAAATTGAAAATAAAAGAATGTACTTTATCACGAATAACAATTTTATTATCTATAGAATAACTTTTTCAGAAAAGGTCATAATTGTAGAACAATTTAAATTTTTTTTGGGAATATACACTTTTATATCAATGGCACTCATTTTAACATTTTGTGCATTCACATTATTAATTAGTACATTTTGTACATGCACTCGTACAATTCTAAGAATTAGAGACTAATTACTTGCTCAAAAATATCCACTTTTTAGAATTAATTTCCTGGTATATCAAACTTTTTTAGAACACAATTTTTGTATCAATGTCTGCTACAAGACTTATTTGCCTCATCTCTGTTTATCCAACTATGCAATATATAAGCACAAGTGCCAAAGGGAAAGGACCAAAAGTTGTAATGGAACTTTGCAAAAAGCAAACTCTGAGTGCGTACCAGTCAAGAAAAACATATAGCCCAAAACCATGATCTAACGTGAAAAGAAACAATGTCTAATACCCCCTTTCCCCCCACCATTCAAGAAACCAATATCACAATCCAGGACCAGAAGACCAAGGGACATTTCATTCATACTGAAGTCATTACAATACATTTTGAAGAAAAATTAGATATTGATAGCCAATTGATAGCCAATACTCATAACTTCAAAAATAGTTGTAGATACAAGTACTCAAACAAGATAGAGCATTCAGTCTCAAATGATGTGGGATAGATAATATCCAGTCTCCAAGTCCATAGGTGTTTCAAAGGGTCAACATCCATTCACAACACACTGAGAGAGGATTTTAAGAGAATATGATGCTTTATGTGGTAAATATCTTCTCTAACTTTTGAGAAGTATTTGTGTTTATCATAGTGACATGTGTGGAAATTAAGATCTTCTGGTGTTTCAACTATTGTAAGGCACAACTCCGGGAATAAATAGTTTTTATTACATTTGCTTTGCTCATAATTTAGCCCAAATTTCCCAATGCATCTAGAGATTTTTTTTCATATAGAAACAATATTCATTGTTCAGATATAACAAGAGGTTTTATTATGGGATACTAAATAAAGGTTTGTACATAAACTTAGTTAGTATGTGATACAGTATTAATTCAAAACTAGCTCAAGGTATTTACAAATTGGCAAAATGTCATGCAGAAACTCTACAGATATCTAAGACTGTTGAACTATTCTACAATGTTTGCACGATATCTTCAGGATTTACTAGATTTTACCTAAACCAAACATCTTACAGATTTAAGACAAGACTATAGTTTCTCTCCAGTATATTTTCTATATGGTGGACAGTTTTGAAATGTCTGCATATTTGATTTTCTCAAGAATGTCATTGCACATATTGGACATGAGTATGGTTTCTCTCCAGTATGGAACAAATTATGTAAAGTATAAATCAATTACAGCTTTTCTATATGGTGAACAGTTTTGCAATGTCTGTGCATATTTGATTTCCTCAAGAACGTCATAGCACAAATGGGACATGAGTATGGTTTATCTCCAGTATGGGACAAATTATGTCTAGACAAGGTGCCTTTTGATGAGAATGTTTTCAAACAAAGTTCACATTTGTGCACTGGACTGGGTGGACTATCATCATTTCCAATTGCATTAGATGCTTTGTTCTGTTTGCCTTGATTGTATATTCCAGTGCCAGTATAGATGGTCCCAGTAAGGCTAGTCCAAGGGTATATTATTCCCGAGTGAGAGTTGACACTTTCAGAAACGTAGTAAGAGCTCATATCAATAAGTCCATCTGGAAATAGAAATAATATAAGATCAGTTGACTTGAACTCATGTTCAGCCATACACCATTAGTATAGATCTTAAACAAATTAACAAAAAATTGATGAGTAAAATTATTCATTTTTATTATTGTGTACCACAAATATTCCGGTGAACAATTCCAAGCAATTATTTACAATTATAAAGATATTAAAAGTTTAAAATAACATGTGAATTACAGAATAAAATGTGTTCATAGACAATGATAAAAATTACATTTTGGCAACATTTGCTTCTGTGTAACAAAACGATTAAAATGTAAACTTAAGGTTTGTTATCTTGATATCTGTAAAAAGGGGAGCTTCCTAAAAGTACAATGCTCGACACAATTTCAGATTTATTGAATTTCAAAAACTAATTAGAAAAACTCTATGTCTATCCTACATCTTATGGCCCATCTTATTAATATAAGGCAGTTAATGAGTCCACATATCCAAACTACAGTTAACATATTCATATCAATCTACAATCACAAGTCCTCTATCGATCTGAACCATCGATTACAAAAACTCACTCATATTCAGTTTTATGGACATGTCTACAATGCCTTTGCACGCAGTCTTTCCGATTAAACATCTTCTCACATACTGGACATGTGAATCGCTTCTCGCCAGTGTGGGTCAAATAATGCCTGTTTAATTTATTCTTTGATGATAAAATTTTTAAACAAAGTTCACATTGTTGGTAGGGGGGCCGAACAGTTTGTTTAGTTGTTGTATTGAATACTTTGTTGGTATTAATTCGAGTCTCAGTGTTAATTGCTCCAGTGTGGAATGTCCTAGAGGAGAGTGTCCCAGTGTAGTTTGTTCCAGATTCCAGATTGGACGATTGAGAAATGTAGTAGGTTGAGTCCAAATGTCCAACTGGAAGTAAAATCAATTGAAAATTAATTGACAGCTGAACAATAGTACCTCAAGAAGTGGGCAATAGTACCTCAACAATTGTACAATAGTACCTCAACAAGTGGACAATAGTACCTCAACAATTGTACAATAGTACCTCAACAAGTGGGCAATAGTACCTCAACAATTGTACAATAGTACCTCAAGAAGTGGGCAATAGTACCTCAACAATTGCACAATAGTACCTCAAGAAGTGGACAATAGTACCTCAACAATTGTACAATAGTACCTCAAGAAGTGGGCAATAGTACCTCAACAATTGTACAATAGTACCTCAACAATTGTACAATAGTACCTCAACAATTGTACAATAGTACCTCAAGAAGTGGGCAATAGTACCTTAACAATTGTACAAAAGTACCTCAACAAGTGGGCAATAGTACCTCAACAATTGTACAATGGTACCTCAACAAGTGGGTAATAGTACCTCAACAATTGCACAATTAATAGTACCTCAACAAGTGGACAAAAGTTCTTCATAAACTAAACAATATTACTTCAACAACTGGCCAATAGTACCTAAACAATTGTATATCAGTAAATCAACATCTGTTCAAAAGTACATCAACATCTGTTCAAAAGTACCTCAATATCTGTTCATAATTACATACCTCAACAGCTTGACCATAGTATCTCAACAACTGGATGATAGAATTGCCAACAACTGGACAACAGTGCCCAAAATATAGAAGTTGTAGGTCAGTAGATCCAAAATAGCACAAAACATGACAAAATACTATTCTATTCTAACATATTCTATTACAGTCTATAATATCAGGAGTTTTGAACATTATAAGCCTTAAATGAGAAAGAGAAACTTGAACACAGGTTAAACTTAGATATACATGTGGTCATGATCCCCTGTTGAAACTTAGTATTTAAAAAATTCTATAGTTTTCATTTTAGTACAATTTATTGAGCATGGATAAAATGTAGAATGTCACTTGACTTTCCGGAGATTTTGAAGTCAGTTCTGCACTTCACAGTTCAAAATCAACTTGTGTAGTAATTTGAGTACACCTTCTAATTTGCCTCACTGGCATTTTATAGTTTCTCAGAACATATTCTCTCAGAATCAGGAAATTAGGATGATGAGCAGGGAAAGTTTGTAGGGGATTCCAGTCACAAAAAATAATGAGTGACAACTTACACTTCCTCCAGGATAACTGTACAACTTTCTCATTTACAGCAAAATGTTATATTTCAGTTCACATTTACCTATAGCTACAAACACAAAGATGCATAGTTGAACATCTATCCATTGCTTGTCATATCTAATATATGAGAACACTATTACTCTTGTGCAGACATATACTCGTCTAAGTTGTCTGTGGAATTCATTTGGTCCATGGAAAATGTCCCACTTGGTTTGTTCATTTTGCATTGTACATGTACATTGTTAATAGGTAACAGATGTTGAAGTGTTCCACTTATGGAGGTGTTCAATTTTCAGATCTGTTCCACTATACAGGTTTACTGTAATATATCTACTATTGCCCCATATAATGAACAGTTCTACAATTTCTGCATATCTGACTTCTTCCTGAACATCATAGCACATACATGACATATGGGACATGTAAAGGGTTTCTCTCCAGTATGAGTCAGGTGATGTATAGTCAAGTTGTCTTCCTGTAATATCTACTGTTGTCCCATTTGATGAACAGTTCTACAATGTCTGTGCATGTTTGACTTCTTCCTGAACATCAAAGTACATATGGGACAAGTGAAGGACATCTCCCCAGTATGGGTCAGGTGGTGTATAGTCAAGTTGTCTTCCTGTAATATCTACTGTTGTCCCATTTGATGAACAGTTCTACAATGTCTGTGCATGTTTGACTTCTTCCTGAACATCAAAGCACATATGGGACAAGTGAAGGACATCTCCCCAGTATGGGTCAGGTGGTGTATAGTCAAGTTGTCTTCCTGTAATATCTACTGTTGTCCCATTTGATGAACAGTTCTACAATGTCTGTGCATGTTTGACTTCTTCCTGAACATCAAAGCACATATGGGACAAGTGAAGGACATCTCTCCAGTATGGATTAGGTGGTGTATAGTCAAGTTGTCTTCCTGTAATACCTACTGTTGTCCCATTTGATGAACACAGTTCTACAATGTCTGTGCATGTTTGACTTCTTCCTGAACATCAAAGCACATATGGGACAAGTGAAGGACATCTCCCCAGTATGGGTCAGGTGGTGTATAGTCAAGTTGTCTTCCTGTAATATCTACTGTTGTCCCATTTGATGAACAGTTATACAATGTCTGCATGTTTGACTTCTTCAAGAACATCATAGCACATATGGGACAAGTGAAGGACATCTCTCCAGTATGGGTCAGGTGATGTATAGTCAAGTTGTCTTCCTGTAATATCTACTGTTGTCCCATTTGATGAACAGTTCTACAATGTCTGTGCATGTTTGACTTCTTCCTGAACATCATAGCACATATGGGACAAGTGAAGGACATCTCCCCAGTATGGGTCAGGTGATGTATAGTCAAGTTGTCTTCCTGTAATATCTACTGTTGTCCCATTTGATGAACAGTTCTACAATGTCTGTGCATGTTTGACTTCTTCCTGGGACAAGTGAAGGGCATCTCCCCAGTATGGGTCAGGTGGTGTATAGTCAAGTTGTCTTCCTGTAATATCTACTGTTGTCCCATTTGATGAACAGTTCTACAATGTCTGTGCATGTTTGACTTCTTCCTGAACATCATAGCACATATGGGACAAGTGAAGGACATCTCCCCAGTATGGGTCAGGTGGTGTATAGTGAAGTTGTCTTCCTGTAATATCTACTGTTGTCCTATTTGATGAACAGTTCTACAATGTCTGTGCATGTTTGACTTCTTCCTGAACATCAAAGCACATATGGGACAAGTGAAGGGCATCTCCCCAGTATGGGTCAGGTGGTGTATAGTCAAGTTGTCTTCCTGTAATATCTACTGTTGTCCCATTTGATGAACAGTTCTACAATGTCTGTGCATGTTTGACTTCTTCCTGAACATCAAAGCACATATGGGACAAGTGAAGGGCATCTCCCCAGTATGGGTCAGGTGGTGTATAGTCAAGTTGTCTTCCTGTAATATTTATTGTTGTCCCATTTGATGAACAGTTCTACAATGTCTGTGCATGTTTGACTTTTTCCTGAACATCAAAGCACATATGGGACAAGTGAAGGACATCTCCCCAGTATGGGTCAGGTCAGGTGTATAGTCAAGTTGTCTTCCTATAATATCTACTGTTGTCCCATTTGATGAACAGTTCTACAATGTCTGTGCATGTTTGACTTCTTCCTGAACATCAAAGCACATATGGGACAAGTGAAGGACATCTCCCGAGTATGGGTCAGGTGGTGTATAGTCAAGTTGTCTTCCTGTAATATCTACTGTTGTCCCATTTGATGAACAGTTCTACAATGTCTGTGCATGTTTGACTTTTTCCTAAACATCATAGCACATATGGGACAAGTGAAGGGCTTCTCTCCAGTATGGGTCAGGTGATGAACAGCCAAGTTACCTTTAGATGAAAATAATTTCAAACAAACTTCACATTTATATTTCTTGTTTATATAATCATTGCCAGTCATTTCATTACTGAGAGACATTATGGTTTGTTGTCTTGGTGACCCATTGTTTATTGTGTCAAGACGGTGGGTCATAGTGCTTTGTGTCCCAGATATGTGAGTTCCAGTACATTTTGTCTCAGGGCTACTGCCAAAAGTAACATAGTAGGTCGGATCCAGCAGTTCGACTGGAAGTAGAAACCATACATTGAGTTTCAATTAATTCAACACAATCAAAAATCAAAGGTATTTAAGTTCTCCAATTGTGGTCCTTCTCAAGTAAGATGTGTGACTGAATAACCCTGATATTCTACAACTAAAACTACTTATTCAGTATACTGTACTTCTACTTAATTTGGTGCTACTTAATTTGGCTGTTTTGAAGATTTGGTGACTACTTTTTAACAGACTTGCAATATTGAAATGTACAAGTATATGCCATATGAATTTCAATTGAAATATGAAATATTGAATTGGGGGCTACTTAAATGCTGACTTTA